ATGCTACAATCTCCTTGAGCTTTATGGCTCCACAACAATAAAAGCAGCAACAATAAGAACAACAACTACGACTGGAAAAGCTTGTCGAAGGCGTTTGCTTGGACTCTCCACATTTGCCACATCTCTCACAGCCTTCAACTTGAGTGACTGACGGGAAACGCATCAAAAATGTGGCTCGGTTTTATTTAACTTGCGGATTTCATTAAGCCCAGCTCAGTGGCAGTTCCAGCTACTCAGAGGCTTCGCTCGAGTATTACAGGAAACTAGCAAAGTACAGCCAGGTGCACTCAGGTTGGGAATCTCTGGAGAACTGGCGAAGCACTTTGTAGCGCCTTTGTGGATGTATACATGTGTGTGTGCTCGTGTGTGGACGAATGAGTTAAGAGTAGCGTGCTTCAGTGTTTGAAATACATGCAAAGAGTTTTCTGTTGCATTGTTAAAATAGAATATTTACTTGGCAACATTGTCTATTTGCAGAGACTTGTCGAAGTGGAAGTGGTTGGGGAAGTGGGTCAGCCAGCCATCTAGCGGTAGCCAGTCCGAAACCAACAAAAAGTTTTTCTTTCCCGCTTTTTATTGGGCTAACAGTCGGACAAGTTCGCACTGATGATGACGGGCTAACAAAATTCACTTGCTCGTAAAGCAAATCAAATTAAAATCAATTAAAATTAACAAGCAAAGCAGCCGGCAAACCAGCGACCAGACCACCCCACAGCGCTGGCAGCGACGCCTTCGCCGACGCTGACGCCGACGCCGACGCCGACACCGACGCTAAATGCCAAGCGAATGAATCATGCAATTTGCCGTGCTGCTCCTCTTCGCGCTTTACCTTTCTTGCTGTTAATGAAGGTGTGCCAGTAAGTAAGTACGTACATATGTATGCATGTATTCACTTATGCAAGTAAATTGAGTCGCCGGCACGACAGAGTGGAAATAATATTGATAAGCATAGACGTTGAGGCAGTAGAAGCGTCACAGTTAAAAGAATGCATCCATGTAGTACGAGTGAGCGAAACAGCGCGAGAGATAAAGAGAGAGAGAGAGTGAGAGAGAGAGTCATCAGCCAGGTGCTCAGAGATATGGTTGCGTGCAAATATTTAGCACCTTATCGGCACGTACATACATTCTTAAATACATGTGTACATCCACACACATGGAAGGTACAAATACAATATGCCGTTGGTCGTCAGTGTCTGTTTTAGTAAGCGTATGTGTGTATTGAGTCAGCGCGCTGTTAACAGCCCACTCATCAAGAGCCAACTAATCAAGAGCCGCCTACACATACACACACACACACACACATAATTAACTTCAATAGCAAAGGTGAGATAAATGCTTGTTGCCTGCAGAGAGCATAGCTAAATTAATTGAAAACGTGTTGCATGCATAGACTGGCGCCATCTAGCGCTTAGATCGACACTTAGCTCATGCGTAACCATTTGTCTAGCCAAAAGCTAAGCAACATTCAGAGTGTTGGCCCATTTAGCACGCTGGCCGAGTTTTACATTTGTATTGCGCAGCTTCTTGCTTCTTTTTTTGCTTGACAGTTATTGCACAAAGTACAACAGAGAGGCGACAAATGCAAAAAACACAATAACAAAGTAGCAAGTAGAAAGTTTACTCACCCACCCACACACAAAGGTACATACATACACATTTAAACACAGAAATTGTTTTCTGTTTTTGTTGGGTCTCTGGCTGCATTTCAATTTTATTGGCACAAGGTTACAAAGAAAAGGCAGCCGCCCACGCTGCAAGCGCCAAAGTTTATGCGGTCGCAGCAGTGCTTCTTCTTCTTCGTCTTCTTTATGAGCGACCCGAACTGCACTGAAATTAATATGAAATTAAATTTCAAGCTGGATTTCAATGTGCCAGATTTACAGTTAGTCACAGCGTAGGCAGTGAATGACTCAAAGCCTGTGCTCTTAATAAGGCGTTAAGAAATAGAGCTCAAAAACTCAAAATGAGAAGAGAGATGAACTCACACGTGCACAAAGCACGAAGCAGCGAAGTGGCTGCAAAACGTCATAAAGCAGCGACTAGAGAATAAGAGACGCGGCGAATGAGCGAACCGCGCTCAGCTGAGCGTATGACGCTTTTGAAGCCCGACTTCAAAAGCGTTAGCGTAGGCACAGACAACGATGCTGGCAGCTGTCGCTCACGTCATAGCGTGTGAGCGAGACAAATACATATGTATTTTGTGTCTGTGTGTGTATGTACATATATGCATGTCTTCTTTTGAATGCACACAATCATTGCACTTGTGTGTTGGGTTGGGGTATCTTGAGGCTTGTGCTTTACAAATTTTTGTGTGGCAGCTATGACTTTTGTGTGGGTGGCGCTTACAAGGCTGCTGTTGGTAGTGCTGCTGCTAGTAGCTCATTCACAATAGACTTGTCGCAGTCGGCGCCGCCGCAGCTGTCGCTATTGTTTGCTTGGCTGCTAGCACAACAAACAAATGTTTTTTAGAAATGTTATGTGCAATACGCCACCCAAGAATTGTACAGCTAACTGTTTTGCTGTGGCCACAGAGAAGCCTTTCGAAGGGCACACAATTATGCAGCACGGTTTCACAAGACTATGAACATACATACATACATGCATATATATATTCATACGAATATTCATATGACAACTTGAGCGAAAAGGAAAGAAAAACTGACACAGCAGCGAACAATAAACACATATTTAAAACTGTGACAGTAAGTAGCTTGGAGCAATAAACAACAATAACAACAACAACACTGTGGACTGCGCAGGAAAAACTAAACACTAACAACTAACTGCAAGTAAATGGTAGCGTAAGGCCTAAGCAACATAAATTCATTTTATTGCCTGTCGGGCGAAAATACAGCCAACTAATAAATACGGCGAAAAGCTGCTGGCACTTTGTTATTGTAGCAGTTGTTCAGCAACGTCAACGCACAAGCTGTTTGCACATGCGTACATAATATGTACACGCGTACTTACATATGTACATACATATGTACAATTCGATTTACGTACTAAATGTATGTAGTATATACATACTTTGATATGTATTGGACACTTTGCTGTGGTCAAAATGTTTGAAAAAAAGAAAACGGGCATAAAATTGGGCAACAAACGAAACTGACAGAGAGAGAGAGAAAGAGAGAGAGTGAGAGAGCGCGCCAAAGTGGGAGAGCGATATTAGCGAGTGGGCGACGTTGTCGACGTCGTCGTTGCCGGCGGCATACATATGTATAAAAATGTGTTTAAATATTTCAGCTAAATTTTCGTCTTAAAATTATATATACACATATACATACATACATACATATGTAATGATTTTGAGTTTGAAGTCGAAAGCGCAGATGGGAACGCGAAAACGTATACATGAATGTACATATTTATATTTATTATATTTTTCGCAATGGCTGATTTGATTTACGGCGAAAAGACACAAAGCCAGTTGCGCTGGCGTGCAGTTGTATGTGCATGCATACAAACACATACAGAGTGTATGTGTTAGAGTGAGAGAGATTAATTGCTCAACTGATTAGCTTTTACGCACAAATCAAATCAAAACGTATGCTTGCAATATATTTTAATAATCTCATTCATAAAGAAACGGCGCGCTTCGCACAGCATCAACAACATCAAAGTGTATGAGGCGAACAAAGCAAGCGGTGAAACTAGCGTAGAATTCCAATAAGAATGAAGACGAGGCAACAACAAACAGCAAACAGCGAGAAAACAAAAACCAGTAGCCGCCCAGCACTTTCATTTTCGCTGTCAGCGACAAACACAAAAAAAAAACAAAGAAATTATGTAATTTGCTAGCGTGCTGCTTAAATAATAATAACAGTTAATGCCAAAAAAATAAAAAGTATAACGAGCACCCACGCACACACACTAACACACACCGGGACAGTAACACACAGTACCCGTAGACGGTCGGCGGGTAAGGCTATCGCTAATTTGCTGCTTTAGAGGCGAGGCCCCGCTCACACAGCCGTAAATACACACACACACACACACACACGCGCGCGAATGAGAGAAAATACACCCACTGGCATTCGCACGCACACGTGCACACGCACTTACCGTCTGCTATTTGTTGTTGATGTTCGCTGTTGTTGTTCTTGTTGCGCGCTCACACACACGCGGTATCTTCTAGCTGCCGTCGTTTTGTAGTAGTTGTTGCAGCTGCTCGTTGACCCAAAGGCCGCCAAATGTTTCCATTTTCTTAAAATGCAGCCATCGGAAATGCTTTGACTGGCACCAAAACACAATGCACCGTTTGATGGGTACACAAATAATCATATGCAATTGTTATAGCGAAGGCGGTATACAAAATATAATGCGTTTACACACATGCATGTACGTACGCGTAAGCACGCATGAATGTAAATATGTAACGTGTAAATAACTTTAACGGTTAATTGCGCTTTTAGAGGCGGCGTTTTTGTCGCCAACCGATTTCTTTTTTTATTATTATTTTAACAACAATATGACACTTAATTATGATTTACCCGTGTGTATGTGTGCTTGAATTGCGTGAGCGTGTTGTATGGACACGAATATAAATATTTTAAATAATTTAAAAATATACAACAGCAAAGCGGCATGCGGAGCACAGAGCACGCACCGAAATATAAAATGTTACTAAAAAAAAACTCTGTTAAATGTTTCTTATAAGAGAAGTTTGATAACAGAGAAGGGATGCGCTCGTGACCAGAATTGACACGGTAGGCAAATACGACTCTAAAACGTTACGCCAAATGAATCGAAATACATTGTTAACACAAAATGTTCCTTTTGGTTTAAGTTGTCGTTGTTAAAAAAACAACGTAGTTTGGGAACAGTTTTATTGCTAATTAATAGCACCAGTTTAATTTAAAACGCATACTTGCTACATAGCTGCCATCTCTAGTTCGAGTCCAATGTACAGTAACAGCTGTCGCTCTGAGAGTAACACATTTGCTGTTTTTCAACATAGCATATCGATAAATTTAAACCATATAAACTCGATAGTTTTGCAGTTTTATTAGTAGAATGGAGCATATGGAATTGTATTTTACACGAGAGAAGTCAACTTACAACATAAACTTGTTGTTCTTTTCAGACAGATGCTTCGAGGAGCGTTTTGCATCCAAGAACAGCGAGTGCACGTCTTCAATATCCTCCTTAGATATCTGATTGCGCCCATTTACCTTGCACATCTGGTGAGCCGGTGTCAGTAGCTGCACGGCATAGCGTAGAGTTGAGCTTGTGCCAATCTCGCTGAGACGCGAAAACGCATTCTCCTCCAGCTGGAGGCCTTCGGTCTGGGCACGCAATTTGATTATCTGCTCCATGTCCGAGGTGGAATACAGAAGCGTGCGTATAATGAGCAAGCGATCGAGCAGATCCAAGGGAATACCGTGCGGTGAGACTATATCGGTTGTGCCACTGCAGGAGATCAGAAAAAAGGTTATAAATCTGACGAAAAGAAAAAAAAAGCTTTGACAAAGCTCACCGAATAACGCAGCGTCCTCGATTGGTGGCAAATATGACAATGGGCGCAATGGGCGACTCCAGAGATTTGTGCAGATAGGTGAAGGTCTCCAGATCGAGCATGTGTATCTCATCAATGAACAGGACGCCAGGCACTAGCTCAGCAATGCCCTGATCAATGTATTTGTTGACCACTTTGTTAATCTCCATGCGCAGCTTGTCTGTGAGTAGCAACAGTTAGTTAGTTATCAGGCTCAAGGAATTGCAGACTTCGGCCAATTTACCTGTGATTTCGGTTTTCTTGGGCTTCATCAGCTGGCCCATCATGGAGAGCACATCTTGGCCGCCCTGGGGGCGTGCATTGGCTACATCTAGATCATGGAGAGTGACATCCTGTATAACTTCCTTCTTCTTGTGCACATCGCCCTTGGGCAGTGGCACATACTCCTCCGTCTCCAAATCGAACTCTGTGGCAAAGGTGTCGCTGCGTCCCTGACGCTTTACGGCGCCACTGTTGGCTTCAATGTAGATGACATCGCCCACCTCGACCTTCTCCTTTTGCAGTGCATCGAAAATGCTTGGGTCGAGCTTCAGCTGCTTGGTGCCTTTGGCGGTTTTGAGACCAATAACCACGTTGCTAATGGTCTTTCCGTAACCACCCATAGGATTCTCAGTCTCCACTGGTGTCAGCTCGGTTACTTCTCCTTCGTATACTTCTTTGGTCTCGCGTATGCGCAGCCCAATGGAGCGCCGGAAATTCTCCATGAGCACTTCGGTCTTCTTGATCTCATTGCTAAATACTTCGGAGCCGACCATCGGGCAAAATGGAACCTTGTTACCCAACTCCTGTGCTATAGCCAAAGCGATGGCTGTCTTGCCGGTGCCGGGTGGGCCAGCTAAGAGCAGGGCACGGCCAGCCATTTTTTTTGATTTAATTAGATCAACCACGATGCCGGCAGCCTCGCGGGCTGCCTTCTGGCCAACCAGGCCAGCGGCGCTCTGTATGGCTGCCCCGGTCTCGTCCAGACCGAGTCCTTTCACGTGGCTGTGCGCCGCGATGCGTTGGGTGCGCACAGTGCTCTTTACTTCTTCGATTTTCATGATTTCAAAAAAATTTGAAAACCTTTAGTTGCTGTCGTACCGTTGTCGATGCAAAAGCAAGTTAATATTATTTATTGATTATACAAATTCTATAAAATGAATTTTGTTTTCCGCTGCGCACGCTTCTTTTTCTGTCACCAACACAACAACATTTGTTGTTGTCGGCATCTAACAGGCTAACATTCTCTCAAATGTTATTAACAGCGTGCCCAGAATCTTATGTCAAAGCTGCCGGTAATCGTTTTTCAGTGTGAATTATTTTCAAATTGATTTTCTTAGAATGCAGTTGTTTGAAGAACGGTGCTTTCAATTATCATCAATTTGCTGTGAAACCTGCTCTGAGTAAATTTATCAGCGGCTAACTGCTTGCATTTCACATATGTTAACAGAACAGGAGCCAAGCAGCGATATATATCGATATATCTAACATTGGCTTGCCGTAATCGACTATTATTTTTGCGCCGCTCGTTGTGAATGTTTCTATGAAGAAGAAGCAACTAGCGCCCTTAAATATTGTTTTTACTTTTTGAAAATGGGTTCATTGGAAGAAACACATAAATACTTAATGTGTGCAATGTGTGAAATGCAAAAAATTATTCTGAAATACTGTGGTTTCATAGAGATTACTGATACATTTTTAAATTTAAAATCATTAAAATGCGGCAATGTCCAGAATCGTTTTTTATTAATAGACTTCTCTACAATTGCAAATTCACTTTCCCCGTTTCTTATCAAGTTTTAAGTATATTTGATAAATTAAAGTTGTCTTAAATAGAATCATTTGTTACATAATTGTTTCGCATGACAAATAGCGAATATACATGTGATAAAATTTCCATATCTATATGTATATAAAATTGTCCAGACTTATTATTATTCTAGCACACGACCCAAACTGTATGAGTTAGGAAGTACAAATTGTAACTGGATTTACTCTTCGGGCTACAATTGCGGGTCTTCGAAAATTTCATCCGCAACTGTGATAAATTGGTAGAAAGCATATGTATGTATAAAATTTGTATCTTTACCATCCAAAAAGTTTCAAACTCATTTTGAAAGATCTTTTTAAAAATGAATATATTTCAAAATGTTCGATAATTGATCCCTCCTTGGTGTATGGGCATTATTCCTGTTTAGTCAGATTGGCCTTAAATCTATTTTAAAAACTTATTGCATAAGAACTAGAATACGTGTTTTACCAATTTTCAATAGTCCCTTCGCGGCCAAGAGGCATGAGCGAGAATAGTTTGCTTATTTTTCTTTCATTTGACCCACTTGAACATTGTCATACTTTGCAGAGGATATTACAATATTGTCACCCAATGTGAAACACTTCGAAATAGAAATGTATGTATTCTTGAACAGAATCAATACCCGAGGCGATGTAGTTAATCAGACTGTATGGCAATTCTCTTTGTATGCAATAGGGGTTTTAAGCCTTTTCTGTGTCCTTTTGTTTTTGAATGGGAACAATCATTCGGCAATAAAGCGTCAGTACAAAAACTTTCTAAGATATACATATATCTGCAAGGGTTAATAGACGTGCTTTCATGATTTTAACTACAAAATAATTTAATTGTGATGCATAGAATGAAGAAAAAAACTTAGCCTGGGCAAAGCCGGGTAATGGGCCGTTAGTATTTATACAGGTTTATTTCCTTATTAAGGTAGAGTCTATTCAATTTGATTACAGGTCTGGCAGGATGGGAGGACACGTGCATACCAAATGCTTGTCGCCGTAGGCATCGTCGATTCTTCCCACAGTAGGCCAAATTTTTGCATCGGGCTTCACAAACAACTGAAGGATAATATTAGTAAAGTCAGTTATGTATGGAAATATATTGTGTTATGTGTTTTACACTTACAGCTGGGAAGGCAGCCTGCTCACGTGTGTAGGGGCGGTTCCACTTATCCGAAATGACCTGGGCCTGTGTGTGCGGGGCCATTTTGAGCGGATTGACGGTTTTGTCCATGCGTCCTTCCTCAATTTCGGTAATCTCTTCTCGTATGGATATCATCGCGTCGCAAAAGCGATCCAACTCCTCCTTGTCCTCGGACTCAGTTGGCTCGATCATCAGCGTGCCGGCCACGGGCCACGACATAGTCGGGGCATGGAAACCATAGTCCATTAGCCGCTTAGCCACATCGACTGCCTCAATGTTGGCCGACTTCTTAAGATCTCGTATGTCGAGTATGAACTCATGGGCCACCAGCTGTGAGTTCTCCGCCTTGTAGAGTGTTTTGTAGTGCTCCTCCAAGCGCTTGGACATGTAGTTTGCGTTAAGAATAGCAACTTGAGTGGCTCTTTTCAAGCCACGACTACCCATGAGCTTTATGTATGACCATGAGATAGGGAGAATTGCCGAGCTGCCAAAGGGCGCTGCGGAAACGACACCAAAGCTGTGCTCCTCGCTGCTAAGTGGACTGATGACAGGGTGTCCAGGCAAATACGGTGCCAAGTGTGCTTTGACACCGATTGGACCCATACCAGGACCTCCACCGCCATGTGGAATGCAGAAAGTCTTGTGCAGATTCAGATGGGACACGTCGCTGCCATAGTCGCCTGGCCGACACAGACCCACCTGGGCGTTCATGTTGGCTCCGTCTAGATACACCTGACCACCATGCTTGTGCACCAATGTGCAAATATCCGCAACTGTTTCTTCAAAAACTCCCATGGTGGAAGGATACGTAATCATCAGGCAGGATAGCTCGTGGGCGTGCTCCTCAACTTTATCGCGTAGATGAGCCATGTCAATGGAGCCATTTGAGAGGATGCGTATTGGCTCCACCTGTAAACGATAGACAATGGGCTCTGTTTAAAATTATTAATTGCTAAGCAGTCGCGGAGTTACCTTCATGCCGGCCATTTGAGCAGAAGCTGGATTCGTACCGTGCGCGGAAACAGGAATCAGGCAGATGTTGCGATGGCCTTCGCTGCGGTGCTCATGGTAGCTCCTAATAGCACGCAAGCCAGCGTACTCGCCCTGAGCGCCAGAGTTAGGTTGAAAAGATATATTATCATAGCCGGTGATTTCACACAGATCCTTCTCCAGTTCCTTGAACATTTGATGAAAACCCTGAGCTTGCTCAACGGGTGCAAAGGGATGGATGTCTGTGAAATGGCGGAACGAGCAGGGTATCATCTCGGTCGTTGAGTTGAGTTTCATGGTGCAGGAGCCTAGTGGTATCATGGAGTGCACCAGTGAAATGTCCTTGTTCTCCAGTTTCTTCATATACCGCACCATGCGGGACTCGCTAAGGGAAAATGATCTGTTAGGTCGTAAATTGTCAAGGGTTGAGTCTGGCTTGAAAACCAGACGTTACCTGTGATAGCTGTTGAAAATGGGATGCTGCAGGAAAGGCGATGTACGCAGAAACTTGGAGTTCTCAATAGAATTTTTAAGCACGTCCTTGCGTGCCAGCAGCTCCTCCACCGTTGTTGGTGCCTTGAAGGTCCACAACAAATCGTTCACATCTGCTACACTAACCGTCTCGTCCAGAGCCACGCCCACTGTGCCGTCGGACAAGTAACGCAGATTGATGCGTTTGTGGTCGGTTCGCTCCTTGAGGTCCTCCAGTGAAAGATCCGCCGAGAGCCTCACACGTAGCGTATCAAAGAAGTTTTTGTTAATTACCTCATGGCCAGCCTCCAGCAGACCCGTCTGCAGAGTTAGCGCAAAGTGGTGAATGCGATTAGCAATTGCCTTGAGACCTTCCGGACCATGGTAAATGGCATACATGGCCGACATATTTGCAAGCAACGCCTGGGCTGTGCAAATGTTACTGGTGGCTTTGTCCCGGCGGATGTGCTGTTCGCGTGTTTGCAGAGCCAATCGATAGGCATCGTTGCCGTCCATATCGCGGGTGACGCCAATCATGCGACCTGGCATTAGACGCACCAGGTTCTGCTTGCAGGCAAAGAACCCAGCATGTGGGCCGCCATACCCCAGGGGCACGCCGAGGCGCTGGGATGTGCCGATGGCGATGTCCGCACCGAACTCGGCAGGCGGACGAAGCAGAGTGAGGGACAGCAAGTCGGTTGCCACAACTACTAGCGTCTGGCAGTGAAAAACGGGATAGTTAAGAATAAGTAATTCGTAATTAATCTTGGGCAGAACTTACGCCATTTTTGCGAGCAAGAGCTGCAATGTCCTCGAAGTCTTTGACGTCACCAAACGTATCTGGATACTGCAGCAGGATGCCAGCCAGCTCGCGGCTGGGAAGATCTGCCTGCTCGATAGGACCCACAACAATATCGAGCTCCAAGGCTTCAGCGCGCGTCTCCACCACCGACAAAGTCTGCGGATGCACTTTGTTTGACAAGTAAAGCTTCCTGCGCTTGTTGTGTCGTGTGGCCAGGCACATGGCCTCTGCGGCAGCAGTGCCTTCGTCCAGCAGCGAGGCGTTGGCTACATCCAGACCGGTGAGCTCGGAAACAAGAGTCTGATAGTTGAGCAACGATTCGAGGCGACCTTGGGCAATCTCTGGCTGATAGGGCGTGTACTGTGTCGTCCATCCGGGATTCTCGAAAATGTTGCGCACTATCGTATGGGGCACATGGCAATTATGGTATCCCATGCCAATGTAGGAGCGCCACAGCTGATTCTTGAGCGAAATATCACGTATGCGTCGTATCAGCTCGTGCTCGTCTGTAATGTGACCGGTTGGAAAAATATTTAGAGTCAATCGCCAGTCAACGACAGCCGTAGAGACCAGCAGCAGATAAGAGCGAGCTGGCGGACCTATTGAACCAGACTTATCGCTTATCACCACACAAACACACGCCAGGGGGTCCCGAGCTGGCAAGTGTCGGCGTAGTTGCCTATTTTTAAAGACATTTCCACTACTTACTTAGAGGCTTGTCTAGGCTTAGATCCCGCTTTAATTGTATGCTCTGTGGTACGGCCTTCTCGGTGAGCTCTGCCAAGGACTGTGTTGAAAGAGGGTTAGATCCTGCGCTAGTCTCGTCATTTTTGTATTATAGAGGCTTACCTTAAAGCCCAGGGTATCGAGCATGGCAACAACATCCGTCTTACGTGGGCCAATGTGGCGACTAGGAAAGTCAGACTTGGTGGGAAAAAGTACGTCCTCCACGGATGTGGTTGCCAGGCAGCGATTGTGAAGCCTCAGCACTAAGCTACAGCTGCGTTTCGTCACAAGCCGTTGCATTTTCGAGCTATAAACGGCCAACTGATCTACAGTATTAAATGATATAGTAAAGATAGCTACGATGCTTTAGCTGCTCTCTCCTGGCACGTCCAATTTTCACGGCTGTCAACCAGCGACTGTTCGACTAGTTCGTCCATTCAAGCTGATAGAGCGCCGCTTGGACTTATCGCTTGCCAATAAAGATGCTGCCGGACTCTCAGAGCAGGGCCACAGAGCGGCTGGATTGGAGGTGGGTATGTTTTCGGATCCCAGACCCAATAGAAACAATTTTTAATGCGTACATGCATTCAATGCATTACATATTTATTTGTTTGCTTTTTCTATTTAAATCAAAACATTACAACGTTTTGTAACAAAAATATTTCGTATCCAATATTTTGACAAATTTCCAACATTAACAAATAAATATTACAAAAGTTTTAACAACAAGAATCCACATACATACAAAACGGAAAAATAACATTATAAATATAAACTTTTTGCATATTTTTCTTCTGTTGTTCATGAACTGAACTGAAGCCCGTAACTTTTTCTGACTACCTTTTAAAGCATATATGTTGTTTCCTCGATTTGTTAACAATTGCGTAATTAATGTTATAATATTGTTACTGACAGAACCATATAGCAACATATATATGTATATATATATATATATATATATATCGATCTATATAAATGAACTCAGATTGTGTCTTCATAACATTTTTCTAATCGTTTTGATTAACTTTTTGTTTCTTTGCTTGGTGTAGTAATAATTCTTGAAGCCATTTTTGTTAGCCATTTTTGAACTGGTTTTTCCATAATTGAAATTCTCGAACTGCAAGTGTATGCATGTATAATATGTTTATATATATGTATATATATAATTGTAATATAAGCATTTATTTGTATATGTGTACATATTCAACTATTGTTAACGGCTGCTTTCTGTCAGTCAATGAACATTTCAAACGTTCCAACTAACGCGTCATTATTGTGGTTTCATATAATAAATATTACAAAATTGAAATTCTTTGAAGAAATATTGTAATTGTAATTGTCATTGAGTGCCCAGTAAAGAATTCAATTAGACACAACTCTTAAAAGATTCATAGCTTTAGTAATGCTTTTAGTAAGTATTTCAAGTATTCCGTATGTATAATGCTCGTATGTAAGCGTTATTTTGTATAAAAATCGTTTCGGTTCTTTCTATGATCAGCTACTTGGATTGGTGCCTTGAATGCAGATGAGGTAATTGCAATTCGCAAGAAGCCAGAATGGTTTAGTGCAAGAGTTTTCTTAAAATTCTGATGTGTATATAATATAGATTTTGTTGGTTATATTTGTAGTTAAAGGTGCCCATAAGTATGTTTTTTGTTTTTGTTTTTTTTTTTTTTTTTTTTTTGGTATGTGTAAGAACTATTAAGGTTTATGTGTATATTGCTTGAGGGTTTCAAAGTTATCTTTTTGTAATAATTGCAACGCGTAAATTTGTAAGCATAAAGTAACTTGTTTGAGCTTGTGCTGCGGGCTGAGAATGTGGCATGCTTAGATGATGATAGCCTTTGCTTAAAGGAGGATGCCCTATGGCTTATCTGGCTCACATGAGTTGTAGTTCGAGCTGTAACCACTCTTGTGCTGATGCTGACCCAGGGAAGCACTGCCATTGCTGCCCAGGCCACCAGGCAAGGGGTTTATCAAGGGTTCTCGCAATGTAAATGTCATCATGGGATTGTAGACGCCAGTGGAATATGTTTGCAAGCTGGAGCTAAGGCTAGAGACGCCAGAGGTGGTTACCGGATCGCTTAAGCGACTCGTAAATGAGCTAGTGAAATTGTAGGGCGCAAATGCCGATGCTGTTGTGGTAGCAATTCTGGTGGAAGCATGACTGCTCGGTGTAGAAGCTTGACCGAGAGCACTTGAATATGGGATGCCTGTGCTCGTGCTGGTGGTGAGAATGTTATCACAGCTGCTGCGCAAGCGCAGATCCGAAGCACTACCGCCTGGAGAGGCACCGAGCTGGGGAGCAATAGCGCTGCTCGAAGCTGGAGCTTCGCAAGCTGTATGGGTGGTGAGATATGAGTAGTTGCTGCTGCTGCCCGCATAGCTACGGGACATGTGGGGTGAGTAGCTGCTTGAGGTGGTCACATCGAGCATGGGGTCATGGCTATATTTGTGAACAGTCAGAGTGTCGGGGATATCGCTGTAGCTTTTGGTCGTTGCCGACGGAGAGACAATGGGTGAATGGCTTGCAGGACGCGGTAGTGTTTGCTTCTCAATTTGCCTCTCCGTTAGAAAGCGATCGTAGAAGGTCGAGGTGACGGTGGTGTGCCGAATCTCTAGCTTTGCTGGCTGGTAGACGGGCGTATTGGAACGCGATGGCCTGTTCGGGTCATAGGGCTGGCGATAGGGCGATATGGGCCTAGGAAAGCTGTCAACGGTCGGGTTCGCTGTTGTAGTGTTGTATCGTGTGGCTGTTGTTCTTGACTCATATGGCGAGCTCAATGGGGACTTGCAGGCCGAGCGTTTGTCGTCAGCGTATTTGGCGCAGGTTTCTTCTAGTTGTCTATCTACTTTATGAAACTTAGTTAAACTATTGCAGCTACTTAGTTCGCTACGATTATCGTCTAAATAATTTGGCAACATATTATCACGTCTTACCCTACTACTTTCCCGTTCCTCTAGCTCCTCCGCCTCCCGTCGGCGTCGCGGCGAGAGTTCCCTGCTAATATCTCTATGCGAACGATGATGCGGCGGACTGGTGGCAAGCAGTGGACTGCTCGGGCGCATGGACTCCACGGATCCCAGTGAGCGATGCTCTGAGCTAATGCGTATGGCAGGTGTATAGTCACTATAGCGCTGCGTTCCACGTCCTCGACTCTCGCTTCGACTGTGTGTCAGATCTTCTGCTGAGCTCTTTTTACTGGCAAAGTGCAATGAATCCGAAAACAAAGAGTCAATATACCGCTGACATTTCTCCTTCTGATACGACTTCTCCTCGCACAAGCTGTCAATGGACTTGATGCTGTTCTTAATGGAACTCAGACGTTCGTTGATGTTGTCTCCAGTACGCAGCGGGACGCCTGTGTGCGTTCCTGTACGAGTGATGGGCGATGTTTCCTTAAAAAGAGGGAATTATTGATAAACAGGGAATTATTTAAAAAGCTTATTCATATGCTGCACTCATCAATCACTTACCCGCATTAGGCGACTGCCTAGGGCGTCGAGTCCCTCAGAGCTTGCGGCAGCGGCCGCTGCGCCGCTGATGTAGCTGCGACTAGCTGATGCTGAGGCTGACGGCTGATCTGCAAGAGTCTTCTTAAGAATACGTTGTAGAATTTTAGAATTCTCCTCCATAAAGCTTAAAACATAATTTGTGTTGCCCACCATTCGTTCGCGTGACTTGGGTCGCCACGAGTCCTCGTAGTAGTCCTCGTCCTCATCGCGAAATCGAATGACCTTAGGGCTAGTAGGCCGATACGAAGTCGTCTCTTCGCGCCGATAGTATTCTTCATTCTCGTCCCGTCTCATTGCTGACTTGGGCGTTGTGGGCGCTTGGCGTCGGGGACTTTGCTCGCGTGACTTGGCTGCTTTGAATTCCTCGTAGGAAACCGAAGGCGAAACCACATCCTTGAGTTTTTGATTGAATTCTTTGTAGTCTTTTTGGGTCTTGAAATCAAAGCATTGCTCCTTCTCTAGTGCAAGAATGCGTTTATCAAGTTCTTCGGCAGTGGGTGGCTCCGGTTTATTCGGCGAGTAGACTAAGCACTCCAGGCTGTGTACCGGGGTCTTGGGTAGCTGATCATCTAACATTTTCTTTCGCTTGATATCATCGATGGTGGGTGAACGGGAACGTGACTTATGACGGGCAGGCGACTTCAATTTCTCGTCTAGGAGGCGTATGCGGTGCTCCAGCTCCCCGGTAGTCGGTATTTCACTGTCGTCCGGACTCGGATCCAGCAGCATTTCTAGCGGATGAATTGGTGGCTTTTTACTGGGGTCATTCTTGCGCTTAGCTAGATTGTCTTTGGACTTGGAACGCACCAAATCAAGTACACGATATTTGTATTCCAAGTCATCAGAGATTGGCAGATCATCTATGTGCCTCTGGCGACGAGCAGGAGATGTGTAGGGACTCTTTTTATTGACGGTGCGCGATGGTGATGTGTGCGGTGTCTTTTGTCCTTGGCGTGTCGGTGAAGTGTAAGGCGATTTTGTGGCACTCCTTTCCTTACGTGAAGGCGAAACATGTGGTGACTTGGTCACTGACTTGCGAGCTGGTGACGTAAATGGTGATTTTGTATTCTGTTTACGTGCTGGACTGCGGGAACGTTCGACGACCGGAGATGTCTCTCCTGCCACAGGCACGTCGTCCTCTAAGCCCTTGCCTTCGCATACCTCAATGTACTTGTTTAGGTCCTTCTCATGCGATAGCGAGTACTGCAGTTTGATCTTGCGCTCGATTTCCGTCAGTCTCTGCTCTACATCGATCTTCTCGACGTCCTCAAGTAGTTTGATTTGACGCTCGAGTGAGCGAAAGCGGGCCTCTAGCTCTTTAGTGGACGGCAGATAGACTGTTTTTCGTTTTAAATGATGCTTAACTGGATTCGGACCCCAATCATAGTTGGGCTCATTTTCGACGGTCTTTTCTTCCTTCTGCTCTGCTGGTTCCTGGTCCGGCTTACGACTGGTAAAGTCTTCAATTTCTTTGCTCAAATCGGATATGGCTTGAGCCTGCTCAATTTGCTCAGCAGACGACTTGTTCTCTGCGTGAACTAGTTTACCATCTTTGGATTTAACAAGATTGCGATCGTTCAGCTGCTTTTCAAGTGCTTGAAACAGTCCCTCAAGTTCTTCAGTATTGGCTCGGGTCAAACGGCGAACTTTCAAGGCTTTTGGTTCATTATCCATTAAAAGTACCACGGTTTTGTTATTAGCATCCACGGGCCCAATATCACTAGAGTTAATAACAAGATTAGCTGATGGCTCTTTGGTTGATTCTTCATCTGATTTAAGATTTTTCTCAACAGCATCTGATTTCTCAACATCTACTTTTAGGGGCACACCTTGAGCAGGAGTAGTTGAAGTTTTTTCCTGGTCAGTCGGTGGATGTGTTTTTTCTTCCACTTTGTTTTCTTCTTTGTCTACATTAGCTGCAACTTTTTGTTCTTCTTTGATTGTTTTTTCTGTGTCGGTCTCTTTGTTACGAGTTTGGGCAGTTTCTTCATTTTGTAAGGTTTTAGATTCCTTAACAGTCTCAGGCTCAGAAGTTCCCGCCGTTGCTAATGGAGCCTCCTCCAACTTTTCAGCTTCGTCACACTTGACGCTCTGATTGTGACTATCTTTTTCCTGCTTTCGACAAGTCTCACTCTCTTCGCTTTGCTCGGAAGGCTGCACCAACACATCCTCAATAGTAAACTCGGGTTCAGAGATTATGGTTCCGTTTCTTGCACGCTCTTCACTTAACTGCTGTTCCAGTTGTTCCAATCTTCGTCTCAAATCATCTGTTGTTAGCTCTGCTTGCGGCTTCCTGTGGTCGCTGTCTTTGTTGAGAAGCATTTTAATGTTAATGCTTATATTGATGGGTTTGTCCGACTCCTCTAGCTCACTGAAGTTCTGTGTGTAGCGCACCAGCTCCTTGCCAGTTTCTATGTCAGTGCTAAGTTGCCGGGGAGAATTGTCGTCGTCGTCGGTATTTTGTGGAACCTTTTCCTGTTGTTTTTCTTTTTCACGAATAGCTTCCAGCAACTTGAGACTGTTCTCGCTCAGTTGCTTCTCTAGGGCCAGAACACGCTCTTCCAGTTGGGCCTCCGCTTGGTGCGAGGTGCTCGGCTTGTCATCATAACTACTCATCCTCGATGCAACTTCGGAATCACTTGCACAGCGCTGCTTGTAGAATTTCTTGTACAATTTCTTTTCCAAGAATTGTAAACGATTTTCCAGATCAGCCCTTGAAGGCAAATCGGAGAAACGACGAACCATTCGCTGCGCTTGCCAGGGTTCGTAATTTCCCGATCTGTAGTAAGCGGTGTTTGCAGGTGCTTCCGATGTCTCATCGCCCATTGGTGTAGGTCGCTGTTGCAGCTGTCGCTGTTGTTGTAGGTGCTTTCGCTGGGGATTAATTTCGCTGGGTTTTAAATTCTCCTCGCCCGGTGACAGACCTTGCATTTTGCTTTGCAGCTCTTCAATGAGAGCGCGCTGCTGATGCTTTCTTGGATCTATGGTGATTCTATGGTCTGGCGGTGGTGGAAGCGGTGGGGCTTCAGGTATATGTGCCTCGATGGCGACATCTACATGACGAGGAGGCGACTTTATCTTTGGCTCTGGATTTGTTTCATTTTCTTTCTTATCCTTGGCATGCAACGCTTCATAGCGGCTCTCCAAGTTCTCAGTTGTGGGTGGTTGTTTTCTAGCTGGCTTCGGATCTTCCTCTGAGTCATCTAATTCTGCAATAACTTCCTGCTCAATACGTTCTAATGCCTCGTTTACAGTTTCGTTTTGGCCGGTAATGTTATTTTTGCTACTCATGCGGCGCTTCAGCCTTTCATAACGTTGATCCAGATCCTCCATAGAGGGAGGCTCAGAGGCTCGCCTTTTACTCAGCTCTTTAATATTTGCGTTCTCTGGCAGCTTAGTCTCAAGATCTGATTTTAATTCTGATTTGGCAGTTAATTTAACTGCATTAGTTTCGGTTGACAAAAGTTTGTTAGCTGTCTCGCAATTGGTCTCAAATGCTTTACGCTTTTCGTCTTTGTCTTCCGTTACTACAGCTGCCTCTTCTTCAACAGTCAATGATGTACTTATGGCCCTTACTTTATCGTCAAACGCTTTGATTGATTTTCGAGTATTTTCCTCATTTTCATCTTTTGCAACATTCTCCCCTTCAATAAGTTGTTTTCTCTTTTCTGGCTTTGCTTCATTCGCGCTGGAAGTGCTGCCGCACTCAGCTTCATCCTTCGACTCTAGTTTGGAGATGCTGCGCTGCTTTTCCAAGGCATTGAAACGTTTTTCCAGCTCCTCTGTTGAAGGTGGCGTTTTACGCTTGACTACCTCCACTTCCTTCTTTTCCTCTATACTTGATGTTTCTTTGCTCTTCTCAAGCTTGGCTTTTCCGTTTTGGTGTGCAGATTCGTCCGTATTTGGTGTTACAGTTTTTTCTGCAACATGCGCACTTTCTTTATCTTCGGTTTTGTGCCCTTTACCTTGAGAACTTTTCGGATCATTCGCATTTGGTGGATCTGTGTTCTCGTTTTGACTCGCTTTCACTGTTATTTCCTCGTTTTTAACATTATCAAATGCTCCTGCTGGCGCCTCAGACACATTTCTTGACTGATTTTTATTATGCTCTAGTCCATCATCTGGGGGCTCTTTTTTCGCTTTTGCTGGACTGTTTTTTTGAACACTTATTCTTCGTTCTAATTCATTATAACGATCTTCGAGCTCGGCTGTTGAAGGCAGTTTTTTAAGGCGTGGTTGTTCTGATTCTTGAGGACTTCTAGATTCCTTTATATGGACTGTGTCGCTTAGATTGGCAGGTTGTTGTGTACCCGTAAGTGATTCTTCTGATTTATGCAGCTTGCTAGTTTTTTCGCTAGCATTTCCCTCTTTTGAGCTGCTACCAGCCGTTTGTTCCTGATCAGTAAGCTCCACGGGAGTCTTGGTATTTGATTCACTTGAACTCATTTGTTTTGTCAAGGCATTAAAACGTATTTCAAGATCGGCTGTAGAGGGTATGCGTTCTGGCTTCTGAAAGCACTCGACATTAAGTTCAGATTCTTCTAAACGTTGTTTCTCAGCACTAAGCTGATTTTCCAGCGTATTGTAGCGCTCCTCCAAGGCCGCAGTGGTCGGTATGTACTTTGTACACTCTACGTTATCACTTTGCCGTTTGGGTTTCTCCTGACTGAGTCGTCGCTCCAGCGCCTGAAATCGTTCTTCTAGTTCAATCGTCGAGGATCTGGTCAGTGTTTTACGTCTGGGATCTCGACGTTTACTGCAGGCACTACTTATAATCACAGGTAATGGACCCTTCTTCTGTGTTTCTATCGTCATGTTTAGCAACTCTTTGTAATCATCTTTGTTTTCGCCTGGAATATTGTCATCGCGTATTTGGGGCGTGTCAGATATCAGTTCTGGTGTGGGGTTGTCTTCCAGGTCGAATGGCAAAGCCTTTGCTATATGTTCAGTACATTGGCCTTCTACAAGAGAACGCTGGTGTTCTCCGGAAGTATTCCCTTCCGAATCCTCAACGCATAAGGAATATGCAAGCTCCAGTCGCTTCGGACGCTCCACACTATTCACACGCTCAAAATACTGATTGATAACGCCATCTTTACTAACATCGTAGCGACTTGTTGGGATTTCTTCTTTCGCTTCCATCCTGCGTGCAGAACCACCAGCATCTGCTGGATTAACCGATTCGGTATCTGACATTACATATATTGATTTGGGCGTAGACAGTGGACTAATGCTGACCGTGCTTAGGCAGGTTGCAATGTCCGGTAGTGGTGTCAGCTGCAAATTGCTGGTGATTGATGGAGCGTTTGCTTCCACTTCCAACGGAGCCACTTTGCTGGAGGCCAGATCACATGCTACCTGCGCCCAATCTAAGTCCCGGGCATAGCCAAAACGATCACTTTCCGTGGCACTGTCCTCCTCCTCTTTGGGCACCGGCTCCTTTTCATCGCCGCTGTCTGTTCCCATTAGCATGAATGGTATTTCATGTGTACTAGGCGCCCATGATTTGGGTCTCTTTCGCTCTACACTAGGATCTCGCAATGTTGCCAGTTTGGGCTTTTCTTTGAGCTTACGCGCCAGCTTTGCTTTGCGTTTGGGACTCTGCTCCATTGATTTGGGATCATCGTCATCGCACAGACTGGTGTCTGTGCTAGAGCCATCTTTTTCATCTGCTTCCTGTTCACCATCGCTGTCCTCACTGTACGAGGAGCTATCGCTTTTGCCTAAGCGCGATCGCAACTTCTGTGACTTAACCATTTTGGCATCAACTTCATCCCGCAACATAGCCGCGCGATCCGCTTTTATCTCCTTCCACGTTAGACTGTCCCGTCGTTGCCGTGTGGCATCCGTATCCCGCCAAAGCAGCGTCTCCCCGCGTCGTAGCTGCCTCTCTCCTGCCGCTGGCGGCTTGCTATGCAGCACCGCTGGGAGAGAGGGCTTGCGAGCTGGCGGTATGGCACCCAGAGGTGCACCTACACGTTTGCCTTTGTTTGTAATTATGGCTGGGCGGCCAAGGAGCAACTGATTGACCGGCAACTGATTGGAAGCCGTTTGACGCGTTGAAGTGGCTGTGGTGCAAGCGGTAGTCAGTATGACATGGGCCTGCTTCTGACGCTCGCGCAGACGATCATACTGCTTCTTCAGTAACGATATGTCCAATGCCAGGCGATCCTTCTGCTCTGTCTGTGGCTTACCTGCCCCAGAAGAGCCGGTTCCCATAGAGCCGCGCCTGCCCCAGTTCAAACCCCATACTGTGGCCACCGCTAGACGTGACTCGTCGTCTGAGTGCGTGTCTTCGTCGTCATAGTAGAGTCTGTAAAGTAAGTATGATTTGTAGCTGCAGCTAAGGAATTCTCAAATTTGCTCTTACTGTAATCCCTGCTTGTTGCCCATTGGCGCAATGTTATACAGATGCTTGTCCCTCAGATGCTTGATATCGGCTATAGGTCCCAGCTGCACCACCTTCTCTATCAGGCCATTGGAATCAATGAGATGTCCATTCAGAAGCTCGTTGGAGAAGGAGCCCATTTTGCCATAAAAGTCATCAGCAGTGCGTGCATTTAAAACTCGCCTGTAAACACGCAGATAATACATTTTCATGAGATTAAAAGCAAATAAGAGTGTTCTGTTCTGGTGTGCCCGACTAGGTGTTAGCCTGAGCCCGCATTATGGAAAAAAATTGTATTTTTACGATATTCGAGGTAAGGGTTGGGTTTTGTAGTACATCTATATCTCGTTAACAACTCCGAAATATGCTTAAAATAAAATTTCGTTTTCATGGAAACGGGGCCACTTTTTTATGTTATGGAATATGTTGACTATGTTAACCAACATTTTATGTTTCTAGTTATTATAGTTGCTAGCTAATATAGACGCGTTCATACATATGAATGGATGGACGGACAGGTGGACATGGCTAGATCAATTGATGATCGCGAATATATTAACTTGAAGGGTTCTGCCTTTGCTCAATGGGTCCAGGGTACAAGAAATTCTTAAATTAGAAGAATTTTATTCAAACCGTTTTTTGTATTTGTGTGTACGTATGTATAGAAGGTAACGAGAATGATTGTAAAGGTAGCTTGGCGCTAGGTTCAGGGGACTAGAAGACTTTCACTAGTCAAAAATATGGTTAAGTTCAATGAAATTCCGGGCTCAAATCGGTTTGAACCAAGCCCGGATCAATTATTCAGCAACCTATCCTTGCCTAAACCAAGGAGTGCTTTTTAATTTCATATCACTTAAAAAAAGAGCAAAACGACCTCATATTTGACGACATAAGACAAGAAATGCGTCTTTAAATCGGCTACACATTTCATAAACATTAAAATAATAAAATCTGCAAGCGCTTACAAAACTGAAATAAATGGAAAAGTCTGTTGGCATTTAGGCTGAAAATTGCAGCACACAACTTGTTTCGACAAACAGGAAAATTGCATTTGGCAAGCGAAAAAACTTTTGGCAAACGATAGCAACCTTGCGCCTGCCTTGACACAATTTTGAGCCTGAAAGCCACTAGAAAACAGACGCCGAAACTGACGCCTGAGTTTCCACCCCCAAATTTGAGCCATTGCGCGACTCATCCACCCCACTACTCACTCTTCTAGCAGACTCCATAGAACTAGGGCCGTGCGTAGCAGCACATCACTGCCCTCAATGAGCACCAGATCCCAAACACGGAGAACACAGGACATCGGCAGGCAGGTACAGAACATGGTGAGGAACCACTGCATGGTGAATACGTTGGTGAGCGGCGGCTCGTAGGCATTCTCCATAGGTCCCTGTAGTCGCTGCAGATGCTTGGCCAAACGGGGTAACTTTGTTTGCATTAATTCCCGAAAGACACCCATGTCCGCTTGGAGGCCACCCATAGAGCCGTAGAAATAGCCTGTGGGCAGCACGCCCTCTACCAAATATATCATGACCTTCATGGACTCCTCCTCTTCCTTGTCCATCACTTGCAGTATTAACGCGCCCAGCATGTTGAAGCCCTGCGAGGCGAAAGCTGTTGTCAATATTTGAACATCACCCAAAAAATGCCGGGACACTTACTTGACAGTAGCCCACCTCTGGATTGTATCGTGCATAGCCGAGCAGTATGCGCTTGAGTTTTGCCTGGTTGATGGAGCCTGCGGGACCTGTGCATAAATTGGAGCCAGTGCGGTGCAGATCCTAATGGAAAACAGTTAGCGGATTCCAGTTGGCTTGAGCAGAGCTAATTGCCTCTTACCTTAACGATCTGAATGCCCAGCTCCTCATCATCCTCACGCCACTCCTCGCAGAAGCACTTGTCGCGTTGCTGTGCCCAGTCCACATTTTTCGACTTCAGATACTTATCCGCCAACGAGAGCCACAGCTGAGGGACCAAAGGCATGAGAATAATCAGAATACCAAAGGACATGGCTGTGCTAGCTTGCTACTATTTACCTTGCGCCGAAACTCTGGCGGGGTGCCGCCTGGCAAGCGTGCCACCAACTTCATGGCATGCAGCCATTGATTATAATCTGAGGCAGCATCATCCGCACCAGCATCAGCGGTGGAGGCCGGCGTAGAGCTCAGCATGTTGTTGTTGTTGCGACTGCGGCTGGGGGCTTTGCAGTAGCCGCTGTTGTTGTTGTTGTTATTGCTCGTGCTGCTAGTGGGTGAGGTTAGGCTGACTTTCGGTGGCGGTGGTGAGAGACTAAAGCGCATTTTAGGCCGTGCATCGTCTGTAAAAGTTGTCAAATTAAATTGTTTATTAGCTGCTTTTAAATATTGGCCACTCTTTGTAATAAGTAAATTGTTTTCTTTGGCTATTTCTGTCTGGCATCACTTACAATATCCGTGCAGTATGCAAACTTTACCCAAGAATATTTATAAATAGTTAAAAAGATTTTGTATGGCATATAAGTACGGTTTGTTTCGATTTTAAAAGAGCGCGCGCGAAAGAGAAGAAGAAAAAAAAGGAATATATGTATATATAATATATTAGACACTTGTTCAGTTAAACATTTGAGCCCTAAGGCAATGAGAACGAAATGTTAACAATGAGCGAAAACTTTGAGGCAAGCTTGAAAGCAATCTAAAAAGAAAGTACTCGCCACATAGTGCAACAAACAACATGCAACGGCAAATGCAATTTGCAGGCGAGCTTTGTGCCACATTGTGATGAAATATGTTGCAATGAGAACGGCAAACATGACAAGCCACTTTCTACTGCGGAACGTGCGGTTGCTGCTGCTATCCATAGATGGCTTTTATGTGAAGCTGACCATGATATTTGCAATAATACATGTGTGGGTGTGTGAGACTACCAGGCGACACGTGTGTGTGTATTCCAGTCGGTGGGAGGTTTGCATGGGTATGGCATGAGTGTGTGTGCGCGTGTGTGTGTATGTGCATCGATGTCTGTGCGCTGACTGCTGACAGTCTGACAGTCTGACATGTCGCATGTGGCGGCAAGTACTTAGTTATTTGGTCTTGGTCTTGGCCATCCTTCAGGACACCCATGTCCGCCACTTGATACGTTGACATTCTGATATGAAAACTAAATTCACTTGAGCTGGTTTTATCTGCGCCTTCAAGCGTATAAATCTTCACTTTGTTGTTATAGCTGCTGTTGGTTGTTTTCCTTCACTAGCCACACACGTGCCCTTAAATATACACACACATACACGGACACAATCTGACGCGCGTCAAAGGTCAAGTTGTTAAAAGGAATTGTATCGTTCTGACTTTATGGTAGCTGCATAGATTAAGCGTGCTTCGCTTGTTTCTTTTTTCGAATTCATTTTAAGTGTACTTTAGTTGTTTCTTCTCTTTCAAATCATTTTAGCTTTTGAATTTTCATCTTTTGCTTCATTTAATCGATAAATTTTTTTTTTTATTTTTTTTATTTTTGACTTGATGACTGATAATTTGATTTCAGCGTCGTTTGAAGTTTATTAGCTGCATATTGTTTGCGTGGGAAAATATTTTATTTTTGTATACGTGACCTAAATGTTAAATATCAAATAAACGTCAAAAAGTTAAAAGCTTTTAAAAATCAAAAAGAAAATCTCATTTAAGTCTACGTTTTTTCTAAGTCTTGGATGAGCGCATAAATCAACAACATTGTCAGCAATAGACACAATAATACTAGCCACGGAGATAAAAAAAATTAAAATAAACTATAAATAAATATTTCTCCCACCCATCACTGCGCTATTTATTTTCCGGGTTGATAGCCTTGCATATAAATGTGCAACAGGAAATAAGGAAATATCTCCGACCCATAAGTCGTGTCGTATAACTAAAGTGTTTGGCTTCGGTCGGTTATCGGCAATTGGTCGGTAATCGGAAATAAAGTTTTAAGGCTTAAACAGTTTTAAGCCATATGTCCGCCAGGGTACTGAATCGTCGGCCTGGTAAATATAACCCAGCTTTCTTGCTTAAATTTTCTACGTTAAAATAACTTAAAGAAGCACTGGAAATCGCTGCTCTTTATACCCTATATGGGTAAAAAGGGTATATTGTATTTGTGCAAAATGTAAATGTATGTAACAGGCATAAGGAAGCAACTCCGACCCCATAAAGTATATATATTCTTGATCAGCATAAATAGCTGAGTCGATCTAGCCATGTCCGTCTGTCTGTCTCTAGAGACTTGAAATTTTAGATGTAGATGCTCCTAGCTCCCGCGCAGATCGAGTTTGTTTCCGATAATCGATAACTTACTCCGTTTCCAAGCAATCGATAAAAATCGATATCGACATCCTACTTTTTGGGCAATTTTGGTAAATAATAAGAACTAGAGTCACCAAACTTGACCTGTAGCTCCTAGAGGGTTCAGGGTATCCCCTAGTCGGGAGCTCCTGACTAGAACCTCTTACTTGCTTTTGTAAATATTTTACTTTTAAAAGACTTTAATAAATATTTGGAATGCTTTTTTGGGATTTGGGCCGAGTTTTGTCAATGCTGGACAATTTACAATTGGCTTCGGGAGAAAATTACAGTCAAGGGAAATGCGATTGAATCGACCAGCAGACAGGATATTTAACTTGACCTGCGAAGAACTCAAGTCTTTCCTTGGAGAACTGTTACCAAGTGCAATATGCATATACTACTAAGTACTAAGTATGGTAATCAGTACTAAGCTTCGTAATCGTTTGGAGTAAGACGAAACTTGGACTAAAGATGGAAAACCCGATTAATGTCTTTTCCGCATAGACCAACAGACCGATGACCAATTTAAATTAAGTTTATTTTCATCATATACCAATGCATTTTAATTAATTTATCAAATATTACCGAACACATCTTAAGGATTTTCAAATTGAGTAAAAAGGATGAGTATTTAGTTTTTCAGGGACCATTGGTTAATAGTAGTAATTAATAAATAATTCAATTTGAACTTGTCGGTATTCATTATAATTCATATTTCAGCGAATCAACCTAGAGCAGTATTTTAATTAAAAATAAAGCAGTTTCTTGACTTTCAATGCCAGCCATTTTAATTAAAAATCACACAGAAGTAGGCTCATTCATAATTAAATTGGATGTACAGCTCAAGCGAATGCAAGGGAAAAATATAAAAAGTTAATTGAAAATTTTAAAAGTAAACAACAAAAAAGATTTCTCAATCCGACCTAGGCTCAAAATAAAGCTCTCAGGTTTTTCTTATCTCTAAAGTCTTGTGGGAATGCTTGCGGCAACATCCTCAAAGTGTATACATAAAGTACACTGTAAGAAATACATATGTAATTATGTATGTATGTATAACATAAGCTTCTTACAGAAGATGCCAACAACGAAATGGTTCCCATTTTCATTTGTGTTTGCCAAAATGAGCGCAAAAAGAATGCAAACAATGAAATAAAAATATTTTTGTTTACAAGAGTTCTCGGAAAAATGAATCTTAAGAGCGAGCTGAAGATTGTATGCAGAACTTTAATGACAAGTAAACAACAGGCAAATAGCTAATGAATTACTAATTGCACAAACACTTATGTAATCGGCCTCAAACGTTGGAGCGCACAAATTAAGTGAGGCCCATAAAACAAATTTATGACCAGCGATGGCCACGACTCTCAGGCTCCCTACAAAGGGACATGTGAGGACTCTACATCTTCCTACAAAGGGGCAGATATGCGTGCCGCAAGGCAAGATTTATATAACGATGCCTACAAAAAAAGATACAAAAAGCGTTGGTCAGTTTTAGTTGGGCTGCGCGTAATTATTTTAAATGCACTTCAAAGTAACAGGATACAGGCAGACTCGTGTGAGTGTGTGTGTGGCTGTGCGCAAGTGTGTGTATGTGTGTCCATGTCAAGGCTGTGCCAGTCTGTTTGAACGAGCGCTTGACTAGGCCTTGACCAAAACTGAATTCTAAGCCGCATCGCTAGCGTACCCTTAACTGTCCGTGTATGTATGTGTGTGCTGTGTTTATATTTGGCCAGCCAAGTGAAAAAACGCAGAACGCGACACTTGGTTTAATGAGCCAAGCGCACATTTGGCCTATGCTGTTAGATGTAAAAAAAATCCGCAAGCAACTAGCCCCGACCGCAATCAGAGCCGTACCCTTTCGAGCCCGTTAGAGCAGCACACACAAACACTTATCCTCGGGGAATGCCTCGGCGCCTGAGCAGCGTCACTTAGTCTGCAGCAATGCCACTTTATTATGTAATTCCCTTTTCCTTTTCCTTTCCCTTTCCTTTTCCCTTTCCTTTTGCCTAGCAGAAACTGTGGATGAATCTTCTTAGCCAAAGCGCCAGCACGTTCAATGCAATTGGCGTCAATTAAGGCTGCTTCAATCGGTCGCCCGACCAGAGACATAGCCAGACAGACCGAAAGACAGACAAGTCAGAGAGAGAGTGAAAGGGATAAGCGGTGGGGTTTCATAATAAATAAAATTCTACATGGTTCATTAACCCATTGAACCCTATTGCATTTATCTTTGCGAGTGCAGCTTGTCGCGCCATAACGTGACACGGACAAAAACTTGAAATGCCGCTTAAGTTGTCACTTCACGCACACATGTACAATTACATGCACATATATATGTATATCACGTTGCGTTGTTTTGGTGCATGCAGCGCTCACGTGGCTGCCAGTGCTGTCCTGTTCCTGTGCCTGTGCCTGTGTAACCGTCTCCACTTTTTAATGGCTCTTCAAAGTGCGTTGGCATTTTAGTTGTTCGCCGATATTTGAAACCCTTCCTGCCACAGGCTCTCTCTTCAATTTTGGACCAGCTTTTGCATAGCTTAAATTCTCTCGCTGCAGGGGTTCTAGTTGATCAGCTGTCTGCTGACTGCAGCATTCCAATCAAAGCCAATCAATTTGTCCCAAATTGCGGCCTGTCAATTTCAATAAGCTTTTCATTCAACTTAAGCTTTCCCCCAAAAATTGCTTACACGTTTTTCTCTCAGCCCCCCCCCCCAAGTTTACATAATCATGTTCAGTTAGCACCTTTTGCATATAAAAATGCGAGATATTGCTCAGAGACCAGCTGCCTTTTATTGTTGTCTTTCGAAGCAAGCCGAAGGAAGCATAAGGAAACGAAACGCAAAGGACCAAAAGATAACGCGTACATTGTGATAAGGGCTCATCCTGCAAACGCTGTAGCTGACAGGTTGAGTCTTTTTGATTGGATTGATAAAATTGATGGGAAACACGCCTTCCATTCGAGTTTGGGGAATTTTTCCTGCATATGGCGGTGACTGTTGAAAGTGCGAGTACGAATAATATTCAT